GTGTCAAAGAAAGGTGCAGGTTTTGGTGTTTATATATGCTGGTGTTTATAGTGACATTTGACCTTCAGCTCACTTAACACAAGGTCATCCATAGTTATGGTGTCCAACACTGCAAACAGGAAACACACACACAAATCACACAAAAATGACTTTGTATTAACAAAGTTATAGTCGCTCCATTATTACTCTATACATAAATTTGCCTTGCAAACATATATGTTACACTAATCCTACTACCAGGTAAATCCAAAATCTTATCAGCTTCATCACAACCATAGGTAATTATAAGTGGATACATTTTACACACATTTGGTAAGTTTCTTTACCCTAGGGAGTGACTGGTCTATAGTCAATGGCCTGGATCATCTATATAGTGTAGCTAGTGGTGCATATTGTATCTATATCTGACTTAATAAGCACAGTATTTAATGCCCAAGACATATTCATCGATGAATCTGAGGATAAAACTATAATGTAATCTACATAGCAGCAGTATAGGCCTGCTGTACAAAATACATATCATCAGAGGAAACATTTATATAATATCGTAAATTCCTCTATTCTTTAATTTATTCTGCATATTTCAACTTTGAGTACTGGGTTCACTGTTAAGCTATCGTCTATCACATGACCTTTATTGTGTTGATGAACCACTTAAAGAAAGTGTCAAACCAAATCACATATCTACAGATTCACATATACAATTGTAATAGTTATGCACCTCGTAATGAATGGGGTGGGCTATTTACCTGACACAATTGGTCCGAGGCGCAAAGTAATGGAGTCACACAATAGAACACGCCAGCCTCGTACAGATTTCTGCGGAGATTCCTTCGCTCCATGGCCAGGCCTTGCTCGTTCTGCTCTGTGTTCTGTTTTTGCTGAGGTTCGTTATCACACTCACCTCCATCCTCTGTGTTGGGCTCCTTACTGTTTAATTAGAAGTCAGTTTAGGACAAATAAAGAAAATTTACTTCCTATGATGCCTCTGTATATTACAGTCAATGTTTGTTTTTTTTGAAACACATTTTAAAAGGAATTTTTTTTCTTTCTTCCATCATTATGTAAACCTTAAATATAAATGACTAACAAAAGTTTCTATCAGTTGATAAAATCTTTAAAACGCTTTATCAGCCTTTTATCATTCGACATCTCTGGTTTTACCTCTTATTTCCATGTACAACTACAAACAGGAATACAGAAAGCAGTTTACACTTCCATGGTTTAGTAGGAAGTCTAATGGCTAATGCAAAGGTCATTTGTACATTAGTTCAGGTAATGACATGAAAAACTTTCAACTTGTTTTGATTCGAAAATGTAGACATTTAATGGTAACCATTCTCAATAGTATGGTGGAAAGAGTGTCACTCAATTCAATGCTTTCATACCTTGACTTTTCTGTGTTATTGTTGACCCAGCCGTTTTCTTTCTTGGAGGATGGTGGTCGACCATTGGACAATACACCACTGGGTGGTCGCCCATTTGTGGTGGCTTTATTATTAGAATTGATTCTGTTACTGTCACTACCCGGTGGGGTCTCATGCTTCTGTAGATTTGGAAACTCTCTACATGTACACAGAGACATACACAGCAGAAAGTCCAGGCAAACCTTGATCAGGTGAATCTCTGCACTGACGAACATCTTGGACAGATCTACAGTTCCATTTCTGAGGATAGCACGCTCCACGAGCAGCCTCTGACTGGTGCCCTTCTTAACAACACTACCAGATATATCCTGCTTCATCCTCATCTTTGTGTCATACAGAAGGTCAGCCAAAACCAGCAGACGGCGCAGCTGGGAGGAGAACTGGGCCATCACCGCAGAAACAAGACGCCCAGCGATGTCCCATATAAAATGAGTGAGTACCCTGTTTAGTTTGGACAGCTTCAACCTACATATGGTGAGATACATACTTGTTTTATATACAGTACTGAAAATTTATGTTGGTCAACTTATCATCAATTAAAAATAATTATTATTCTCACATATACAACTGATATAATGTTTACATCAGCCTTTTTAAGAAGGAATTAAAGAATTTGAGGATGTTTTAAAATTTCCCAAGTAACTTCCTATGAAATCACCTACATTGATACATTTATGAGATATCCTACATTTATATCTAGTGAGTGGTGAAGATCAACAGATAGCAGGTGGCCGGGGTTCATTTACCCGACCGGATGTAAAAAGGTATGGGGTCACCTACCCGACCGTGTGGGTTTTCTCTGGGTGCTCCGGTTTCCTCCCACATTAATATGCCCAGAGAATTGAGACAGAAGAACACTAGGATGAAAGGTTTGTAGTTCTCTGTGAAAAAAGTACTTATATGTACCTCTGTGACTCTATGTGTGCAAAATGATGAAGATCTATCTTGTAGAAGTCGTGTCGGGACTTGCTGGCTGCCCAGATACACACGTTTGTCAGTACCCTAACACATTGGCTGATCACTGAAACTCCCGGGGCGGGTGTGCCAGACGTTGAAGAGGCGGTCAGACCAATCCTCTGTGGACAACCATCCCCATCTAAATCCACCTTGGCTGTCAAATTCAAAAGCCATTAAAATGTTATACATGTACTTGTACAATGCCTCCGACAAGAGCTTAAAGAGAAATTCTCCCTAGCCAAGTCGGTAGGAAGCGGCTAGTACTTTACAAGGGTGACACTAGTATACAACAATCCTTTTCCCGTTAAAACATGTGAGAGAATAATGATTAATCACTTATGTATGTGCAGACAGAAATCTCAACCCTTGAGATAAGACATTTGAAATTTAGCACTCAGCAAAGCCTTATGCTAAATTTCAAAACCTTTTTCCTCTGGGTTGAGATTCCTTGGTCTTCATCATAAAAGAATGATAGATTCTACTGATTTGTAACCATAGTAATTGATTGAATCTATCACAGCTTACAGAAAATTCATAAAACAAGCTGCAACCACTTCCCTAGCATACAGTCTCATGCAGGATGTGACATCACACAAGATGTGACATTTCACACACAGGATATACTAACATCACACATAGGATGTGACATTTCACACACAAGATATATGTAACATTACACACAGAATGTGACATATCACACAGGATGTGACATTTTCCAAACAGGATGTGACATTTCCCAAACAGGATGTGATATTTCATAAACAGGAAGTGATATTTCACAATCAGGATGGGATATATTTCACACATGATATGACATATATTTCACACATGATGTGGCATGTCCTATAAAAGATACAAGTTATCCTTACCTTCCTTACATATGATGTCACACATGACGTGACATAGTTTGTGCAGGCCATTCCATAGCTGTGTTTCGCGTTCGTGTCGGTTCCTTATAAGAGGCAGTTTCTGTGAGTCCCCAGCCAAACTGTAAGCCTGCAACAGCTCTATCTCCATGGTGGCGGGCACTAGGTAATCTGCGATGTGGACCATCAGATCCCGACATCGACCACGGCTCCGAGTCATGAAGGTATTGGCTAGCACACAAGTAGCCTCTGCACAGACATGTCTAGAACAAAACCCTTTATTAAGCTGGTAATATGTATTTTTATCACATGATATAAGTATATATTACATAACAATACCACTATAACCTCACAAATAAAGATGATATATGTTGTCATGTATTCATGGTGGAAGGCATTTCTCTGGTTCTTTTGTGAAAAACAAAAATATTTTTCAAACTTATTCAAATTACTTTATAAAAAAAAATCAAAGGTGTTCCAGCAGTTCTAACAGAGCTATAGCCTCCCTCCCAATTTTATGTTAGTCCCAGAAATAGTACAATGTACCAACACGAGCAATAGAGTAATCTTTATTCTGAATACCATTCAGACATATTTCTCTCTCAGCACACTTTGAAAAGCGTATACTAGAATGCTTTCAATTATGAATGTCTACCTGCACTTTGTTTCCTTAATACATCGCAGCACCAGTGTCATGAGGTCCTCGTCGTCGATAGTAGAGGCGATCCCCAGGTTCTTCTTGGTCAAGGCTGACAACAAGGCTAAGGCATGCTTCTGAGGACCACTGCAAGGGGGTATAGTTATACAATGAACAAGAATATAACAAAGAAGAAAGCTAGAGGATGTTTCTGGAGACCATGCTACTACAGCATAAAATCTTACACACAGGAATGCAGAAAGGAAGGGCATTTTCATTGGAATAACTTTTGGTAGGAAATGTCAAAATCCTACTACTGCCTGTCAGTGGGTATAAAGGTCTTGTTCTGCTTGATACTACCTGCTCATGATCAGTGTGTATCTCATCTCCCATCCGCTAATCTATACCTTGGTCCATGCTGTAGTGTTTTGGTGAAGGTGGCCAGGGCCTTGTCCTGTATCAGTCCTGTGAACACCTTGTCCGTTAGTTAGTAGCCTATCGTAGTATTTTGGTGGCAGTAACAGTCCTATGGACACATCATGTGGGTGTATCATCCTTATAAATGCTATATAACATGGCTAGTCCTACAGTATTTTGGTGGTGGCTGGTAGGGCCCTGTTCTATAATAGCTCCACATGGACATCTTGCTGTTTATACCCTACCCTCTATAAGTGCTATATTATTTACCATGGCCCTTCCTGTAGTAATTTGGTAGTGTGGTAAGGGCCCTGTTATGTATCAGCCCTATGGATATCTCGTCTGTGTAACCCCTATGAAAATTCTATATAATTTACCATGGCCCGTCCTGTAGTTTGGTGGCAGTGGGTAGGGCCCTGTTGTGTATCGGCCCTATGGACATCTTGTCTGTGTGTAACCCATTCTCTTACCTGTATATTCTAAATATAATTGACAATGGCCCGTCCTGTGGTATTTTGGTGGCAGTGGGTAGGGGCCCGTTCTGTATCATACCATGGATACCTTGTCCGTGTGGTACCCCTACCCCCTGTATATTCTATATAATTCACCATGGCCCGTCCTGTGGTATTTTGGTGGCAGTGGCCATGGGTAGCTATATATATAGGGGCCCGTTCTGTATCAGACCTATGGATACCTTG